ATTATGATTCTTTTTATGGGGTAATCCTCGTTATAATTAGGATCACTAGAAACTTCTATGTATGATAGATTTCCTGTATTTTCTTCAGTTTTCTGTTTTGATGATTATAAAGCGAGTATGTTTGAGTATATGAATGTACTACGTTTCTCAATATTGAATGATGATCATAACCTCATCGTCGTTAGCAAAAACACTTATTTTGGAGGAAATATTACCATCATCAGCCAGTCGGAGGAAATATTACCATCATCAGCCAGTCAAGTACATCGTAATTTTGGCCTTACTTTCATGTTCATTAGGTTGATTTTTATATAGTATTGATCAGTTTCTCATGGATAGACAGTAAGTACTATTTATCACTCATATATTACTTATTTTTTGAGTTCAAATTATTCCAGTCACGACTCTGCGGCCTCCGACGCCACGCAGATTCGTGATTGGGTTTCCTCAATTCTGATTTTGTTTACGCCCTGTATGATGAACATTAATCCATCGTACAAGAGAACAATTATCATCATCATCACACAGAATCTTCAATTATAATCAATTCTAATAGCAATAATTCTCTCGAGTCATACCACGTTTGTTCAAACGTGCATACTGATTTTCTAAAACTATGGTGAAAAAAAAAGATATCTCATAGCTTTGTTCTTCACATACTTCAATGAATAGGTATCTAGGAAGATGAAAAATAATTGTTTGAAACATAAATTTGCATAGAATGTTAGGTATAAAAACAAACACAAGAAATCTTGTTTTCAACGAAAATAGCTGATTCAAGGTTCGCACAAAGGGTAAATAAGCTGAACTTGTATATAATATCACCAGAGATGGATTCACCAATTTAGTGCATCGAATATGAACGTGCCTTTCTTCATCATCATGGTCACTGAATCGTTGATTCGAAGAGCCCTTCACACGATTTCTGGACGAATTAGCAAAGCTTCATGTTCCAAAAAACGTTCCGAGAATAAATCCTACGTCTCGTTTGGCCTCATTCGCATGCATTTCAGAAAAACTTGGTTGCCAATTTGCCTGAAGGCGGGTGCCACCAAAAACAAAACTTATTTATCTTGCTCTCTCGCGACTCCGAATTTGTTAGTCTTGTTAGTCGAAGAAATCAAAGGCGCGACTGCCTCTCCAGAGAGCGGAATGAAAAATATTTGATTTAATCTGTTGTGTAGACAACGTAATCTACAGCGATGAGAGTACACAAGAAGTCTCGCTTTTCCTTGCTTCTCCTTAAATGAGCCAATACGTCATCTGGGCGCTCCCGGGCTGAGAAAGAAAATAAAATGTTTGACAAATAGCGAACGCGTAAGCAAACATCAAGTCGGAGATGTTTGCTTTCCAGATGACAAGTGGCACCGTTTCCGCTGGGCTTTGGGCTATATAAGGGGCTGCGAGACATTTTTCTCAAATAAATAGTCCCCAGACAAAATGCCAGCTTGAAATCTCCTACCTCACTCAGAATCTTTACTAGTTGTTCACTCTGTCGGTTGACATTGTGAAATACATTTTATCTACAACTATGGATTCATTCATACATTGCTTACTCGATTTTCGACATCTAATGGCAGTCATTATTGTGATGAATCGAGTAATAAGAGTAATAATGACAGTAGGGTGGCGTAATAATTTGACATCCCATCGTCTTGTCAAATTCAACTAGGTAGGTATTCGTTCTATTAGTTCGAAAATCTACCGTACCATATTGTTCTCGTAGTTTTAAACATCTTAATTCTACAAATACACGGAAAAATAAGAATTCACTGTTTTCCATCCTCAACAGTGACTATCATCATGAGTAACCATCATGAGTAACCATAACCATAAAATAGGACTTGACACTTGCAGATTTGCTCACACCTTAGATCCTGTATGATCTTAGGCACACACTAACACTAATATGGCTACAGGCTATTGGAATAGTACAGACCAATCAGAACCATGGAATCTCATTGTTGATAACTAGCTTCTAGAGACAGGGTACTACAATCAATCATCGCGGTGGGGGAACGCTACAGCGGAAGCAAAAAATGAATAATCTGCAATAGTATATATAATTCATTTTACAACTGAAAAGTGAAATATCATATAATACCTAGTAAGATTGACTGATATGTGATTGCACGACTTTTTTCCTGCTAATAAAAGTTATATCCAACATTGTTTATCAAATTTTCACAATCAAAATTATTGAAATAAGTTATAAGCTGTTCGTTGAATGGAATCTTTGTCAATGAATTTTCGATGGAATTAATGAGTATTTAAAATCAGATTTAGTGATTTTGCAATATAATAACCTTCATTTTTTTCAAAGATATATTTCTGAACTCTCAGAGTTGCTTTGATATTTGAATAGTTGTAGATAAAGTATAGTATTCTACTAGCGCATAATGACTATTACCCACTCAGATGATTACAGCACTCGCCTTCGGCTCGTACTGCAACTTTCATCTTCGTGGGTAATAGCCATCATTATGCGCTCGTTGAATAATATACTATCATCTACAACTATGGAGTCATTCATACATCGCTAACTCGATTTTCAACAATTAATGACACACATTATTGTGATGAATCGAGTAATAAGAGTAATAATGACAGTAGGATGGCGTAATAATTTGACATCCCATCGTTTTGTCAAATTCAACTAGGTAGGTATTCGTTCTACTAGTTCTACTAAAGCCACACCACTATACTACCGTTTGTGAAATACAAGCAAATTCAAAAGACTCACTTTACATGGTTCTCATAGTTTTACGCACCTTGATTCTACAAATACACGGAAAAATGAGTATTCACTGTTTTTCATTCTCAACAGTGACTACCATCATGAGTAAACATAACCATAAAATAGGACTTGACACTTGACAGATGCAGATTGGCTCACACTCATGTGCGGGTTATTCGAATAGATCAGTAGAGACCAATCAGAACCATGGAACTTCGTTGTTGATAACTAGCGTCTAGAGACAGGGTTACAATTAATCATCGCGGTAGGGAAATGCTACAGCGGAAGCAAGCAATAAGCAATCTGTCAGAGTATGATTCATTTTACAACTGAAAATGGAAATGGCCTATAATACCTAATAAGATTGACTGATATGTAATTGCACGACTTTTTTCCTGTCAATAAGAGTTATATCCAACATTGTTTTTCACATTTTCACAATCAAAATTATTGACATGAGTTATAAGCTGTTCGTTGATTGAAATCTTTGTCAATGAGTTTTCGATAAAATCAATGAGTATTTCAAATCAGATTTAGTGATGATTTTGCAGAATAATAACCTTCATTATTTCCAGAGATATATTTCTGAACTCTCAGAGTTGCTTTGATATTTGAATAGTTGTAGATAAAGTATAGTATCCTACTCGCACATAATGACTATTACCTACTCAGATGATTACAGCACTCGCCTTCGTTGAATAATACACTATCATTCCACGTGGAACTATTTTTATAAAACCAGAGATTTCTGAGAAACATTTATCATGAAAGTATCTATACAAGGTGTACTAGAGCAATGTACCATGAATTCTACAGGCTGAATTGAAGACCGAAATAGGCTGATTGAAGAATGGACCCCAAATTATGAGGGTGTTGCAAGACGAAATGGCACAAAACGTCTATATTCTCTAAATACTATACGAAGGAAATAGACAATACACACGTAGAAAAATGTTGTATGTGGGCCTCGCACCAAATACTTCGAATCCATGGGACAATTCCCCAGCATTTTTCAAGCGGAAATACACGCCATAGGAAGATGCATCCAGTTCAACCTAGACAGAAAATACCGGAAGAAGGACATCGCGATTTTATCCGATAGCCAAGCAGCCATCAAAGCGTTGAGCTCTCCTTACATCAACTCGAAGATGGTATGGGAATGCCTAAGCAAACTGAATGAGCTAGGCAGCAACAATAAAGTTACCCTCCTCTGGGTGCCAGGGCATATCGGAGTGGAGGGGAATGAACACGCAGACGCTCTGACACGACAAGGGGCTTCAACGCCACTGATCGGACCAGAGCCATTCTGCGGCCTTGGAAATTCCTATTTCCAAGGAGAACTTGAGAAGGCGGAAGGAGCCTGGAGAGCCAGACAATGGAGAAGACTTCCAGGACTACGGCAGGCTAAAGATCTCCTTGCAAATTTCAACCAAGAAAGATCTAAGACACTGACAAACCTCAGCAAAGGAAGTCTCAAAGCAATAACGGGATTTCTAACGGGGCATTGCAGACTCAAAGAACACCTAAGGAAGCTAGGCTTACAGGAGGACGGCACCTGCAGATTCTGTGAGGAAGAACCAGAAACACCCCATCACATACTGATGGAGTGTGACGCTGTACATCACAAAAGATTGAACATACTGGGAACACACCAGCTGACTGTGGAAGAAATACCACAGCTAGACCCTCTCAAAATCCTCAAATTCCTGAAGGAATTGAGTCTCGAGGGGCTGCTATGAACAAGAAATCCTTGATATAGCAGGAGCAGATGGAGCACAATAGATCTAATTGGGTCGCAGCGCATCTGTCACCATCCAACCTACCAATACCAGAAAAATGTTGTCATTCAAACCCAATCCTTATGCATTTTCGTCAGTGAATGTTATTCGCATATTACAGAAGATTGAACGAGAGAAAATAATTGAAATTGATTGTTGAAATTCTTCTATCCTTCATTCGGAAGCCCCCTTACGAGCAACCCTCAGAAGTCTTCGAGAAACTTGTGCGAGCACGGAATGACGGTTGCCTTACCTTTCAACGAGTGATCCCAAATACTTTCTTGGGCCATCAGAAAAATGTCTGCAGTCCGGAGAATTGAACCCAGGACCGGCAAGCGAGCGAGCTACCTGGATCTAGAAAGCTATAGTTTGACAATCTTATTATTCCTAACATAGATTCTGAAACCGGCTCTGGCCTCTCTTGATTCGCAGTCTGAATCGTTATGCAATCATCGCATTCCACGATTATTATATTTATTCAAATCGCGGAGTGTTCCAGGCATTAAAACCACAGAGCCAGAGATCCAAGTCATGGCTGAGTCGATACGAAATCTTCCACAGCTTCTTGCTGATTACTTGGGGCCGACTAAAACAATCAAAGACCAGAAAATAACGCATCTAACGACTTCCGGGGATAACTATGGAAGTCTCATGTTGAAAGTGGACATAACTGTGCATAATATTGAGACTGAGCAAGAAGAAGTAGTTCATTTGGTAGCTAAAAAAATTCCTGCGAACGAGAGAATTCAGGAAATGTTCGACATTCAGGTAACGTTCAAAAAGGAAGTGGCTTTCTATGAAAATATCATACCAGCATTACAAGAATTCAAAAGAGAAATGGGTAGTACCAGAGTGATTGACTGTTTCCCGAAATCATGTGGTGCTCGGTTCAATATCGACAACAGTGACTTGGTTGATGAAGATGCAGTATTGGTTTTGGAGAATTTAATGTCTTCAGGTAATATTTCGAATAATCTTTCCTGAGAAAATATGACCACATTCTTTTTATAGGTTTTTCAACTACGGACCGCCGAAAGGGTTTCGACCTAGAAGGCAGCAAGACAGTGTTGAGAGACCTGGCTGAATTCCATTCAGTATCTCTAGCTCTGAAACTCAAAAAACCAGAACAATTCAACCAAAACATCAAAAAATATTGCCATGATTTTAATTTCAGTAATGGCCCAGAAGAAATGTTCCGAGATCGTTTAAGAAATATTCTTCTAGAGAACGAAAACTGCGCTGAAGTAGCAGATCGTATCCATTACTTGGGAGAAATCAAGAGACCTGCAGCTAGAGAACCTTTCGCTACCTTGATTCACTTCGACCTTTGGGTCAACAACATCATGCAAAAACTTGTTGATGGGACAGTAGTTAACAAATTCGTTGATTTCCAGCTCTACACCTACGGCTCCCCTGCTGTTGATTTATTTTTCTTCCTGTGGTCTAGCGTCCAACAGAAAGTCATCGAAAATCACCTGGATGACCTCATGAGGTACTACCACGGATTATTCATACAGAATTTGAGTGACCTACAGTGTGATACCGAACCGTTTGGCTACGATAGTTTAATGGAAGAAATGCGACTGGAAACTGAATTCGAATTTGCACATGCCCTGAGTTTTTCGACATTCATAGTGGGAGCAGAAAAGTCAACAGGAAATGATGATGATAACGGAATACTCAAATCTAAAGACGAACAAAAGAAGGAAATATCTTTGGAGGTCAAGAAGAAAGCTTGGTATATGACGGAAGAGTGTAAGAAAAGAGGATGGCTCGGTATAATTTTATAGAATTGAACTGAATAAATATTGAGAAGAATAATATATATTATCCAAGGGGATTAGTGTTTGTCATTGTATATACAGAGTGAGTCATGAGGAACTGTACATACTCCACGAATAGAGGCCCTTGAGGGGAATACCTAATGACCATCAGACAGTGTCTTCTTCTCTTCTTTACCAATATACAGGGTGGGCCACCAGTAACGCCTCGGTCTCTAGAAGGCTAACCACTTATCTTCTTGGAATTCTTTCTCTCTAGGAAGTTGCATGTCAACATAGGCTACCATTTGAAATTATTTTGAAACATACAGGATGTCCCCAAAAATCACAAAACACTGAAGTTGAACTTTTTTCAATCGAACACCCGTTATATTATTTCATTTTGAGAATCTCCCTGGTGAGCTGATTTCAACAATACATCATACTTGGGGTCTAGCAATTATAATTACTGAGATATAGGGTGTGAGAAATAGAGATTTTTCAAGTTCAAGAATTTTTTGTGTCTAAACCATTAATAATTGGTCAAAACGGCTCACATGTCCCTATCTCAACTTTTGATCAACTATCTACTGACATTTAATTGAAACAAATACAGGGTGGTGCAGAATTCAGAATCTTGATCACCCGGTATATTCTATTCGTGGTAGGAGTATGTACAGTTCCTCATGACTCACCCTGTATTAGTACCTAATTCATCGTCAAGGTAATGTGAGGTGGATTTTCATTTTATTTGAAATGAGATAAACAACATTTCATTGGAATGTTCAACATTCTTTCTCGATCTCTCTTTCTCTCGTTCTATATTCATAAATTCCAAGAAGCATTACATGTTTATACAGGGATATAACATAAAATAATATATTTGTTAGTGGAATGACTGAAATAATCATTGAATCTAGTGAATTGAAGTACCAAACCTAACATTAACTGATCCTCAGGAACATAATGTTTTCATCTATGTGAAGGATTATTTTGAGCTTCCTGGACCATTTTGTTGAACTTACTGACATACAAGATGAATATGTGTAGAGTTCTACTTATATACTCTGAGTACTACGGAAATAACTACACACTTCAAGAAATTTTGTCATAGATCAACTACCAAAGCATACTATTTGTCTTACTCTTAATGGCCCAGAATACCCTTCTGTGGTATTGCGAAAGCTATACAAAAGACTAGTATCAAATCATGGATGCAAACTAAATCTCAAGAATGGTGGAACAACTCGCCAGGAATGAGACAGGCAAAAGAGTTTATTAAAAAACCCTCGCCAACATTCACAGAATATCTGCTGAGCCAGAAACGAAGTTCAACTAGAATACTAGTGGGACTTCTCACAGGGCATTGTAGGCTCAACAAACACATGAGTACGATAGGTCTGACTGAAAAACTGCTGTGCAGGTTCTGTCAAGTAGAGGAAGAAACAGCAGTACACATACTTTGCCACTGTGAGGGCTTGTCAAGACTAAGGTTCCTTACGCTGGGTGAGGAAAAACCAGGAGCCCAGAGATACACAGGAGATCTGAAAGCTAGCCTATGGAGTCTCATAGAGAAGGCGGGGCTAGCCGAAGAACTCTAATCCATTTTGAGGGCAGGCACAATAGATATGAAAAGGTCGCAGTGTGGAGGCAGATAGCCCGAAGGCCCCATTCCAAATCTAATCTAATACTATTTGTCAGTGGATACTTCAAGTTATTTGTTCATAGAGGAAGCCACAGTTTGACAATCGTATAAATCCATTCTGAAACCGGCACTTGATTAGCAATCTCATTTGTTGTTCAAATATCACATGCAACGATCACAATATTCTTTGATACCACTGAGTGTAGCAGAATCGATAGAAAATATACCACATCTAACGTCGTCCGGGGATAGCTATGAAAATCTCATGCTGGAAGTAGACATTACTGTAGATAACGATGAGACCAAGCAAGAAGAAGAGGTATATGTGAATGCTGAAAAAATGTCTGCAGCCGAAATATTTCGAGGAATGATAAGCACCAAGTACCATAATCAAATGAAAGAGAAATGAGCAGTGCTAGAGTGTTTGACTGTTCCGTGAAACTATGTGGTGTTCGGTTCTATATCGACAATACTAACTCAGTTGATAAACATGCAGTGTCATAGTACTTTATTGAATAATCTTCCCTTTCACAATGTCAGCATTTTTTTGTTATAGTATTTTCAACTACGGATTGCCACAAGGAACCAGCATCATGACGGTACTGAAAGACCTGGCTGAATTCCATTCAGTATCTTTTGCTTTGAAATTCAATCATGCGCGGCACGAATGATCCTAGATCGTTCAAGAAATATCCTTCTAGAGAACGAAAACTGAGTCAAAGTAGCAGATCATACACATCCTCCTCGAGAAATGAAGAGACCTGCACCTAGAGAACCTTTCCTTATCTTGATTCACTTCGACCTTCGGGTCAACAACACCTTGCAAACACTTGTTGATGGGGATGTAGTCAACAAATTCATCTTTTTGCAACTCTACACCTACAGCTCTCTTGCAGCTGATTTATTTTTCTTTCGTCTAGCTTCCAACAGGAAGTTATCGAAAATCACCTGGATGCATGAGGTACAACCAGGAGTTATTCATACATTATTTAATGACCTACAGTTTGATACAGAACCGTTCGGATACGATAATTTGAAAAAAGAAATGCGATTGGAAGCTGATTTCGAATTTGGGCATGCCCTGGGTTTTTCCTGAGGATCGTCTCTAACAAACCGGTTATAATAAAGTAATATAACCTGTTAGTTACAGAGATAATATTCCTATATCACTTTTTGGAAGTTTCAAGCTCATCAAGATCAGAGTTCATACAAGTATACTTCTCCTATTCATTTCAATTTCCATTTCAATACTGAACATATTTGATAGAGAATGTCATTCCACAATTTCAGATGATTTTCATGTTTCAATATATTGGTAAGTTATAATTCGTTTTCATCATACAATTAAAAATTCCAATACCTACCTCCTATCCCTATCCTCCCTAGGAACGCACGATGTTCTTTGAACATTACAGGGATTCCCTTTCGTGCGCTTCAAGCGATAAAAAAAATCATATTATTTGTTCGATTTGAGAAAGAATATCAATTATCAATAATCAGAAAATGTTTATGTTCATGTTCTCTTTTTAGAAGTTCAACAGATATAATTCAATTTAAGACGTCAAATAGCAAGGAACGTAGTTTTTGCTGTTGAATATATCGAAAAAGAATTAATATTTTCATACGTACATAATATATCTGAAATTATTTCATTTTAATGTTATTCGTTTAACCATCGTGAGAATAATGTTCTTGTTTATGATTTTCAATCAATAGATAATTGATTTTGTGTATGAATAACTACAGAAAAAAAATCAGAAGGTGTATAGGTTTTCTCTGAATACTAAATAAATAAACAATGTCAACGTTGATCAACAGCCATAACCTACTAAGTTTCTGCTACTGATGCACTTATTTTCATCTCACAAGAGAATTTTCGAGAGAAAGCAACAGTTAGACAATCCTTGATAGTAACAATCATTTTGGAACCGGCTCTGGCATCTCTCGATTAGCAGTTTGAATCGTTGTGCAAACATCACATATCACGATCATTATATTCATTGAAATCGCTGAGTGTTCTAGGCATCCGAACCACGAAGCCATATATTCATCTTCCAGTCATGGCAGAGTCGATACGAAATCTACAACAGCTCCTTGCTGATTACTTGGGGCCAACTAAAACAATCGAAGACCAGAAAATAACGCATCTAACGGCTGCCGGAGATAACTATGGAAGCGTTATGTTGAAAGTGGACATAACTGTGCATAATAATGAGACTGAGCAAGAGGAAGTAGTACATGTGGTAGCTAAAAAAATTCCTGCGACCGAAATGTTTCAGAAAATATTCAACATTCAGGTAACATTCAAAAAAGAAGTGGCTTTCTATGAGAGTATTATACCAGCCTTACAAAGATTCCAGAGAGAAATGGGTAGTGCCAGAGTGATTGACTGTTTTCCAAAATTATGTGGTGCTCGATTCAATATTGACAACGGTGACTTAGTCGATGAGGATGCAGTGTTGGTTTTGGAGAATTTAGTGTCATCAGGTAATTTTTCCAATGATTTTCCTCGAGACAATAATATAAACATACTCCTGATGTAGGTTTTTCAACTACGGACCGCCACAAGGGTTTCGACCTAGAAGGTAGCAAGTCAGTACTCAAAGACCTGGCTGAATTCCATGCAGTATCTCTAGCTCTGAAACTCAAGAAACCTGATTCATTCAATCAAAACATCAAGAGATACTGTCATGACTACCACTTCGAGCACGATGCAGAAAAAATCTTCCGCATGTGTTTAAGAGATATTCTTCTAGAGAAAGACACCTGCGCCGAAGTAGCAGATCGTATACATTACTTGGGAGAAATCAAGAGACCTGCAGCCAGAGAACCGTTTGCTACCTTGATTCACTTCGACCTTTGGGTCAACAACACCATGCAAAAACATGTTGATGGAAAGGTAGTTAACAAATTCGTTGATTTCCAGCTCTACACTTATGGCTCTCCTGCTGCTGATTTATTTTTCTTCCTGTGGTCTAGCGTCCAACAGAAAGTCATTGAAAACCACTTGGATGACCTCATGAGATACTACCACCAGTTATTCACACAGAATTTGAGTGACCTACAGTGTGATACAGGACCGTTTGGCTACGATAATTTGATGGAAGAAATGCGATTGGAAACTGAATTCGAGTTTGGACATGCCCTGAGTTTTTCGACATTTGTAGTCAGTGCAGATAAATCCACAGATGGTGATATACCCAAATCTAAAGACGAACTAATTAAAAATATATCCTTGGAAGTTAAGAAGAAAGCTTGGTATATGACGGAACAGTGTAAGAAGAGGGGATGGCTAGGTATTTTATGAAATTTACTCGCCATTTACTAAGTGCCAGTATTAAAAATATAAATATTCATTATCTGATGAGATTTTAATTCAATTTTGACAAATAATAAATCATTGTTGAAATATCTAACAAAAAACAACTACTTTTCTGGCTTATACCACATCCAAATTATAATTCATTCACAAGGTGATTTGCAGAGGTTTCCATTGTATTTGGGAAGAGATCAACAACATATCAGTAGATTGATTGATATTCATTATCTCTTATCTGTAAGTGAAAAAGCTGGTACAATTATTCAAGTACTTAGGTACTCAATAATCATGAAAATTAGTAGTATCTATCATTTCGTTCAAGAAAAAAACTTGTTCTAGACACTTAGTAATATTAAATGGAGTGAAGTTATACAGGGTGAGTCAGAATAAGACCGACAAACTTCGTACACAGATTCTTCACCTCATCTTGAGGTGAGAAATTTCTATCAACGTAATTATGTCCTCACTGAGATACAGGGTCGAGTGTACGAAAAAAAGTATGATTTCTCTAAATTTCTCCAGACTCCCTGTAGAAAAAAAAATTAAACTCAGTATACCAATCCAGATTGATTATAATAGTCACTGAAAGTTTCCATTTTTGAATTTTGTCAACCAGTGGCGTAGTAAGGGTAATATATCACGCCGGTCCGACGTACATAAGATCAGATACTTTCAGCATTCCACATCATGTTACATCGAAATACGAAGGATGTTTTTCATATTTGGCACCATCTTGTTTGAATAAGTTCATTTCATTATTGAATTTAACAGAATTTCAAGTGAGATCTCAACTAAAAAATATTCTGATATCAAGTATAACAGACTAGAATAATTGTTACTTCTATTATACCTACTGTTCTCTTATTCTCTTCTGTTTCCATGTATCAAGCAATCTTATTAGATTATTTAATATAGCCTACACTATTAAAAAATTTTATAAACAATGTAGTTAGGAGAATGCTCAATTATAAATATTTTCATGTTGTGAAATTGAATTTTAAGGGGGGGGGAGGTAGATAGCAATAGGCTAACCCCTGCCTTTTGTGTGTAACATTGTTGTGCACAATAAACGATATTATATTATATGTCGCCACATTTTCCTTCTAAATTTTTCTCAGACATATATGAATTATCAAATTAGTGGATGACATCAGTTGGGATAATCAATAGTCAACCTAAAAGTTATGCCATTCTGCATGCCTAAATGTAGAGGTTCCGGAGATATTTGCGAAAAACTGAAGACATGTCTTGAGGTAATATTGAGTGGAGGCCTAATTTGTTTCGTACCATAATTGCATAATGATGAAGTTATACGAGATATCTATATTACTTTCCCACCTCCGGAATATATTTGAATGTCGAAAAATTTAGAAACATTGTGTGGGTGAGTCAGAAGTAAATCGGAAAACTCGTAGTTTATCATAGGAATGTCAGATTTGCTGTGAACATATCTGAGTACTGAGAGCATATAGAGACCTTTCAAGTCTAACAAGTTATTTTTTGTGAACAGCGGTTTGGCACTGTCCCTACTTCATTTTTGAAATATAGTTCTCAAAATAAAGTTTTGGGTGACTTAAAGCGGCTTCAGAATGTTATTATATGCAGAGCTCCAGACACTTATTCCATCATATTTTCTGAACTGTTATAAACAATCAGAAGAACGTTTTCCTCCAATATATTCCGTAGTACGTGAAATTCATATATTATTTTTCTGATTTGCTTAGTAATATATTCAGTGTGTACTTGCCATTTCAGATATTGGTCGATGAACACCCCTAAGTATATTGATGAAATATTATGAACCGAGTTTGTAGTTCCGTTGATTTCAATTGGATGTAATGTATATTATTAAGTTATCCCCTCTTTCTGTTAGAGAGAATGTCATATATTTAGTATTTTTAATATTGAGTTTCAATCTATTTTCATCCAACCATAACTTTGAATCGTTTGCGCTTTCAGTCGAACTTCATTCCAATTTTCAGCATCACAGACAAGCACCGTATCATCAGCATAAGATACAACTATGCCGTGCTCTTTGTGATTCAGAAGATTGTTCATGAGTATCAGGACTAGAATCGGGCCTTGGACTGTTCCCTGGGGAACGCCTGTTTGTATTTGTTGAGAAGTACTGAGAATATCTCCTATTTTCACTTGCTGATTTCTTTAACTGAGATATTATTCAAACACATTTTTTTTATTGTTCAGTATGGGACACAGTATCAAAAGCTGCCTGAAGATCTGAAAATATGGCAATTGTTTTTATTTCTATCGAGACTATCTAGAATATCCATCGTTAATAGTTGTAATAGCTGTTCTGTTCCCATATCTAGCTGAGAACCGAATTGTTTTCGCAATAAAATATCATGGTCAAATATCATGTTAGCTGTAATAACATCTTTTTCCGGAGTTGTATTACTTTAACTACTTGCAAAACGGACGCACCTCGTACATTAAATGTAATTATAATTATGCAATGAAATAATTATTGTATCATCAAAGTCAGTATACAATGAAATGGTAGTTAAATTTTCATTATAGGTTGTTTTTATGTGTTTCATGCTTCTAAGCCACATATTCACAATAATAATTTCAATTGAGTTGAGCCGAATGAGTAATATGAATTATAGTTTCCTCTTCGCTATAATTTGAAACCTAATCACTACATTTCGAACCAGAGACGGATTGAGCAGGATTGCACTGAATATTATTTGCTACCAGTTTTATAGGATGCAAATTGCAAAGAATAATGAGTATGTTATGAATGAGACACTCTGTCTCCAGGGACTGAATAGGCTGGATGCCAGATGAAAAGGGGCCTATGATATGTTCTTCGTTCAATTTTTTTTATGTTCTGGTTCCCACGAAAAAGGATATCCTGTAATGTTCAGAGAACATCGTGAGAACCAAGGGAAATAAGGTAGGAATTGGTGTTCTTCTTGAATTTCTGAAGGTTATATGCCTTGGCGAACACCTCTCTTGGCAATATGTTCCAGAGCCTTGCTGTTCGTTGGATGAACGAGTCTTTGGAAAGAGATGTTCTGCAGGTCTCCAAAGTGACCACGACGGGGTGCGAAGCCTCAACTCGACGGGTTAATCTCGCGGGGACTGCCAAGGAATAAACGATTGTCCACTTGTCAGGAGCAACCATACCTTTGAAGACATCCATTTCGATGCTTGGTATCACTATCAGCAATAATCTTTCTCGGGAAAATCACCTTAGATCAATTGCTGAAAGTGCATCCCAAAAACTTGGTTTTCTGTTTCCGGCCAGGAGCTATTTTACTTTCAGTCAGCTGCTTATGATCCATAAGGCACAGATCCGACCTGTCCTGGAATACTTTTTCCATTGGGTGCAGCACCCAAACATACCCCCAAAATGTTGGATTCTGTCTAAAAAAGGGCAATTCGTCTCGTGGGTGGTGCCTCGCTCACAAACTCACTCACTTCTCTGGAACACCGTAGAAAATTTGGCGATCTGGCTCTATTTTGAAGATATTTCCATGGACGATGCTCTTCTGGAATATCAACAATTGTTCCTCCCTTGGCAGTCCCCGCGAGATTAACCCATCGAGTTGAGGCTTCGCACCCCTTCGTGGTCACTTCGAAGACCTGCAGAACATCTCTTTCCAAAGACTCGGGAAGTGTTCCCCGAGGCATATAACCTCCAGAAATTCAAGAAGAACACCAATTCCTACCCCTTTTCCCTTGTTTCTCACGATGTTCTCTGAACATTACAGGATATCCCTTTTCGTGGGAACCAGAACATCAAAAACAAATCTGGTTTCAAAACTGTTCCAGACTTGTTTCAAATTGAATTTGATGCGCACCTGATTCAGCGCATTCCAAGGACCGTTTCAACAATTTGAAACACGAACAAACCTAATCTCTATTCGCTCACAGTTCAGACGTTCTGGCAAAAAATGCGGTCTCGCTAAGACTGCATAAAAAAACCTCTCGCCATCGTTGACGATCCATATGAGGATCCGGCAAAGGTGGATATATGTATGGTGAAATAGCTCCCTCTTACAAAACCCTAGAAATTTTTGTAGACCTCTGGCCTACTTGATTATGTCGAATTCTATCACCGTAGTAAGGCCGCGCAAAACTAACGCTAGATGGCGCTGTTCCCGAAGTGATCTTGCTACACAATGGTTGATTTGTTTTGTTGTTCACATTTACGGATATTAATTCGTAATTCAAAAACATTGAGAAAAAGTGATCGATTTAATGAAAAAGACGTGAAATTTTCATTATATCCGTGAAGTATATGTGACGCGATGTTCCCTACGCCATCTACAGTCGATCCGGTGCGGCCTTGCTACGGTGTTTCGCGGTCTACACATTTTGGAAAGAAACAATTGACAAGTGGTTACACCAGTCTATTTTCATCATGGTCCGGCGATGGCCGATATCGAGTCAGCCATGATCTCCATCATTTGTTCCGGAGCGACTGGACCATGGACCGTGTCGGCACTCGCAAAACGTCAGCCGAATCGAGATTTATACGGCATTTGTCAATAGAGGATCTGTGTAGGGGTTGGGCCGGATGATATGTGGCCCGGAAGTGTGACGAAGACATGCGTTCAAAAACTGAAGGGGTTCGTTCAGTCGATTTGTATGTGTGTATTTATTGTTAGGAGGGAAATTTATGGATCTCTTCTGTCGCTACGAGGCTATGAGGGTCAAGGCAACTCAATGGAAGAGGATTCTAGTCCAATAAATGAAGGAGGAAAAAAAGGCAAAGTTAACTAATTACGCACTATTTTCATCTTCCGGTTGGAAGTAGCTTTTGGTACCTCATTAAACATAAGACAAAGTTTGACTGAAAAACGCGTGCGATGGCGGAGAAAATGGCCCCAAAAGACCAGGAAAATAGGTTTTCAGCCAATATCTCCTAAAATATGGCAGTTAGAGATTTTCTGTTCAGATGAAAATTGAAGTTCAGTTAATTTTCGACAATAAATGGTTCCTATCATTTTTCTCGAAAATGTTCCCGGTTGCGAGAAAAACGGCACGAAACGCACCTCGAATAATGAGCTTCTGTGTTGTATGCCGGAGAGCACAGTCCGTGTATTTACACATCGGCGGGGGGACAAATTATTCAATAACTTTGTTAAAAATGCATATTTTCTCATGATTCAAAGTTCATGTGAAAGAGGAATTCTGCTGCTATCATACCCTGCGTGGCCGCATGGTTTGTAGCAGTCGACCTGAGCGCCACGTAGACCACACACGCGGCGAAGTTAATGACAGACATAATTGTGATGAATCTAGTAATAAGAGTAAAAATGACAGTAAGATTGAGGTAGGTAGGTATTCGATGGGGTGAACATTGAATTCTGTCTCACTTCTGATGGAAGTTATCATAGAGGTGAGATTCTGAAATTTGGCAGAATAAAGGGAAAGTCCAAAGATACAGTCAACGACCAAATGAGATTGTCATTAGTGATCTACACTGCTCGCCAGAAACCATAGAACTACCCACATGGTAACAGGAAAATATGAACAGTTGGGTAATTGGACGTCCTGAGTTATTTTCAACTTATCTTGCCTCCTATAATAATATTTTCCGGAAATGTAGGTGGTTCCATGATTGTTGGCGAGCAGTGTATGCAGGGTGTCCCAAAAGTCATGGATATATTGATTCCTTTTCCAGATTCTCTAACAAACAGATAGACAGATATTGACCTTCATGTCTCTATGGAAACACGACAGGTACCCTTATTTCGATAAAATTCTGCACACAGACTAATGTATAACATCTCTGAGTAATGATTGAGGTCATTTGAAAAAACTCCACCATGCCTCTCCTCAGGAGGTTGATAGCCAAGCCCCAATGAATTGATTCGAAAATCGTCCTGTGGCCATGTTCTGTTCTGATCTGAAAATGTTATTAACATTTCCCAGTGGGCATCTTTGAGTTTGAACGACATCAAACTTTCACATGAACAAGATGATCTGGAGATGAAAAGAAACATCCAATTATAGGCAAGGATTGATTGACAAAACGCATCAATTCGACTCCTCTTGAGCAATCGAGGAGTCGAATCGAGTTTACACTATTCATTCGAGAAAAAGAATACCAAATATCGAATAAAGATGGCCGATTCGTGAAATAGAATATCCCTGCAGAGTGCAGACTGTTGACATGTCATCCGACGCATCGTCAAGTATCAAGTACCTACCTATGTGCGTGTCCAGCTGAAGCACGCATCAGCTAATCTGAACTCCAGACTTTTAATCGATTCTGAAGCGCTGCCTCTCGCATCCACAA